GTTCTGGTTTGTGAATCTTACATATTGAAGAAGATATATTTCTCCTTCTATATATAGTATATTTTAGTAATTATCTTTTCAAAAAAACATATAAATAAATCATACTACCTGATGCATATATTCCTCCAAGTTTAATACCATCAAATAGTCAATATAGCTCCTTTGAAATTTTTTTTGCTCTCTTAGAATAATGTTTATTAATTGTATTAAAATTATCATTTAAAGCTCAAATATTTTTTTTGTAATCTTTTTCACCATTAATTCCTGGAAGCTTCACTTCGCCAAGTAAGAAATAAAGATATCCAAATTTTTTTCTCCATTTTTATTCTTTTCTTTATCAACTCTGAAAAAAATAGCAACATCAACTTTTTTGTAATACTTTTTTTTAATATTATGCCTCCTTTTTTGTATTTATCAGATATTTTTAAATTTTCTACAATAACAGTTGTAGTCGTAGAACCATTTTTAGAACACCGCCGATAAGCTTTTGGCCTTTGATTATTAATAATAATGGTATCTTCTATTTCATCTGCCATGCTGTATTTATATATACATAGTTACATATCAGTACATATAATGTATACTTTAAAAGTATAATTCTGTATTGGCATATTTTGTAATGCATATAATTCATTTCGTTACGTCACAGGATTATCTGTTTGAACTAATTTCAGTGATTATCCTCCACTAATGTATTGCGGAATATAACTAATATTATCAATTCCAAGATGGATTTTGATAACAAGCTGTAAGTTGTCTTTTATTAATTGATTTGAACCCGAGGTGGGTTTTATTTAAGATATCAATATACCTGTGTATACCGGTATCTTATAGTGTAAAATAGAAATTCTCTCTATATATAAACATTTATAATTTTCTGTTGTTATTTTGAAATTTATATTTTTTTATAACATGGGAATCTCGAGAAATACATTTTCTACTTTTAACGTTAAGGAAGTTTGGGGTGCTTTACCTTCTAGATGGTTGTACATCTCAAATTTTCCTACAGATGTTAACCTTTGGCGCCACATGAAATTAATTTTCGAGGTAATTTTTAATTTAATAGCGTATTTACACAAATTAACGTCCGTGTAGAGATTGGAACCGTTTAACCGTTTAAAAATTGCTCTATAGTTCTGGGCAGAATTATGTTGGTTTGGGCCAGAATTATTTTAATGCTAGCTAAATTAAATGGCTAAATGATTAAACAATTAAACGATTAAACGATTAAGAAAATTTTTAGGCAGTTCCAATCACTATGTCTGTGGGCGTTATTTAGAGACATGCAATATAAAAAAAGCTAACAATTAATTTATTCAAGTGCGAATATAATTTTTTGCTATTAAAAGTCTTCGCCTAAATTAATTATAAGCTTTATTTAAATTTCATGTCTCTAACCACTTCCATGGGTGCTATATAACCGACGATTTTTAATTTATGTATTTTTTTATAATAGTTTTATGGTGTCGTCCAAGAAATTCTTGTTGGATTCGGTTATGCTTATGTGATTTACTATGATTTTTGTGACGCTATCAAGGCACTTCAATTCCTCCATCATAAAGACGTGCCTCATAATCAATTTAGATTGGAAATCCGGTTTTCTTTTAAACTATGTGAGGTATTTTTTATTATATATGTTGTTTTTTTAATAACTTCTATAGCTTAATAGTGGTAATAACAATTTTAATAATAATGATAAATAACATATTTCTAATTAATAAACAGTTCCTGGTTGCTCCTTCACTGGGCTTAGAATGTAGATCTGAATATATGGCAAAGGGTTATCCATCCCCATCTGAAAATAGTACCGTGATCTCTTCTGGTAATAGAGCTATCCCAGACAAGAATACTCTAGATCTTGAAAGAGTTAGAAATGGTATTTTTAATTTATTGCTGGGTAGGATGAACGTAGAGCAATTTTTGATACTTCTATACTTTTATGATACATCTAAACATACCTAAACCTATAGGATTGAATGTTATTATAGTAAAAGTTAGGTATATTCAGATGTATCAAAAAAGTAAGTGTAGGACTAGCAATCACATAGTAAATCAAATGATTCAACCAATCAGAATTCACTATTTCTGTGTGAACCTAGATTATATATAGGGCCTTTGCTATGATTTTTTTTACTAAAAATAGATTTGTTATGATTTTACTAATTAAAATCTTGTGTAACAATAGC